GTGTGGTGACGTGTGTGAGAGTCCAGTCTTATAGTGACGTGTTTGGGAGAGTCCAGTGCTACACCTGGTTCAGGGCCCGAATAGCCTGGGGGAAGAAGCTCCTCCTCATTCTCTCTGTTTTGGCCTTAAGGGAGCGGAAGCGCTTCCCAGACCTCAACAGTGAGTCCATTGTTGGGATGGGAGAGGTCCATCATAATCTTCCTAGCTTTGGACTTGCACCGCTTGGTGTAGATGGACAGCAGGTCAGGGAGCTCTGATTGAATGATGCGTTCTGCCGAGCGCACCACCCTTTGCAGATCTCGTCTGTCCTGCTTGGTGCTGTTCCCAAACCAGGTGCAGATGTTTGACGTCAGGACGCTCTCGATGGTGCAGGAGTAGAAGTTCTTGAGCACCTTCAGTGGCAGATGGAAGTCTCTAAGTCTTCTGAGGAAGAAGAGACGCTGACGGGCTTTCTTAACCAGGGTGTTGATGTGACAGGACCATGACAGGTCCTGAGTGATGTGGACACCCAGGTATCGGAAACTGTCCACTCTCTCCACTGGCGTGCCACTGATGATGAGGGGTTTGTAATTCCTCGCCTGCTTTGTAGTGAAGTCCACGATCAGCTCCTTAGTCTTGCTGATGTTTAGGAGGAGGTTATTCTCCTGGCACCAGGTCTCCAGGTTCCTAATCTCCTCCAGGTAGGCCGTCTCGATGTTGTCGGAGATCAGGCCCACAACAGCAGTGTCGTCAGCAAACTTGACAATGGAGGTGGTGTCGGATGTGGCAACACAGTCATAAGTGTACAGTGAGTACAGCAGGGGGCTTAAAACAGCCCTGAGGCACTCCAGTGCTGAGTGAGATGGAGGGGGAGACTTGTTTTCCTACCCTCACTGATTGGGGTCTGTCTGTGAGGAAGTTGAGGATCCACTGACACAGTGATGAGCTGAGTCCTAGATCTGTCAACTTGGTGAAAAGCTTAGAGGGAATTATTGTGTTGAATGCTGAACTGTAGTCCACGAACAGCATCCTAACATAATTCCCTCTGCCAGTGTCCAGGTGACTCAGGGATGTGTGGAGCAGGTGAGATATGGCATCGTCTGTGGAACGATTAGTCAGGTAAGCAAACTGAAGTGAGTCGATGGTGGGAGGAAGTGAAGAAGTGAAGCCACAAATATTATGTGTGATAACCAAAATCAACCTTTTCTACACTCCTAACACAACCTAAACACAGGAAACATGGCAAATAGATCCATATAAAGATCAAAATGATTATTTTTCCTTATGTCTTGCGTATTGTAATTATTATTGTAATAACTGCAAAGCTGCAATAAGTTAGTCCTTACAGTGACCATCAGGCTCTGGTTTCAGAAATTTAGGGTTAACAAATTTTTTACTTTAAACTGAGATTAAACTTCAGCTGATCTTATATAATTAATGAGCTGTAAGATGACTGGTATAAAATAAAAATTCCATCTGTGACAGGCATTTTCTTCTCAGTGTGACTGTGACAGTGACCCCACCCTGACAAATGACAGATCACAGACTTTTACATACCTAAAGCATCACACAGAGCAGTTTTATTTAAACACTGTTTTTTACAGTAATGTAAGGCAAATGTTTCAGTGCAGGGAAACTGACTGCAAACCTAACGGCTGCGTTACAGCAGCCTACAGATTTTATTCTGAGGAGATAATAATATTTTCTTTTCATTTCCAGATGACAGATTGATTATAAATGTTAAACAAAAGACATTAATCACTGATGCATAAATGGAGGAAATGAGTCAGCTGCTGCAGATACAGCTGGAGGGGAGGAGGCAGAAAGAAATCCTGCCAAGCAAGCAGGTTAGGCTCAGAGAGTTACTCAGACTTAAATCCAGAGTTTTCCTTATTTCAGGTTTAGCAAACCAACTCTGTGTTGCTCTATAATCTTTCAGCACTTGTCCTGGTTCATGCAAGTGTCTGTTATATGTCATATGTAGCACCATGGTCTTGGAGGAATGTTGTGTACTGTACCACTGCACATGACATTAAAGCCACTTGACTTGACTTGCATGGTAATATGCCACGTTCTTATGGGGTTTACTCTCACCTGTTCGGAGTGGGTCGAGGAAGAAGAAGAACTTGCGGACAGCGGTGCAGACGTAGAAAGAGTAGAAGGACTTCTCCAAGCCGTCCAGCTGAGGCAGAGTGGGGATCAGCTCCAGGATGTAATTTTCTAGATCCTACAAAGAATCAGAAGAATTACCATTTTGCTGCATTTATATTTTCACTTGAGATAAAACTATTTTGTTTTGTTTTAAAGTCACTTGAGCTGAACTTACCGACTCTCTGAGGTACCCCTGTCCAGCCACATCATACAGACTCAGGCCTATCCGGGTCTGATGCAGCCACACTGGATGTAGATGAGAAGGAACAGAAAACAGAAGGGTAAGTGAAAACTTTTTAATTTGCAATATTATTGTAGTATTTCTGAGCCCGCAACAGGATAGTTACAGTGGTGAAAAACACAAAAGAAACAATCTAAACCTAAAATCTTTTTTTTTTCCCTTTCAGTAACTTAAAGCATAGTTTCAATAGCAAATTTGCACCAGTTTATTTTCTATGGCACAGAGTAACAGAAACAAGCATTAGTACTATGGATGTTTGATTGCATTTTGTGTTATATCCTCATCTTGGATAGGTGGTTGGTGAAAAGAATTTACGGTATATTGTTTAGGAGGCTCTGTGGAAACAAAGCAGAGGAAAAAAGGTCCAAACCTTTCCTCATGACATAGTTGAAGAACTGCATGATGGAGATCCGCCCGTAAGGGTCACTGTGCAGCAGCTTGGCGTAAACTCTGGCTGTGAAGAATTTTCTGAAAGTAAGAAAGAAAAGAAAACAATTAAAACTTTACTCAAACATATTAATGGCTTCACGTCAAAATCTGTTTTCGCTTAACACAATCTTTCTGCTTCAGGCTCTGAGCGCGCTCACATTAAAGGTCACTCTTCCTTCGAAAGAGTCCCGTATTCTTATTTTTCATCACAAATTTTCCCAAGTTCAGTAATTTGGATGCCTGCTGCCTTCGTTAGATGAGGTAGCTGTTTCTTAAGGACCAATTACCCATGGACACCGTGATAGACATATAATGTAGCACCAAAAGTTGATAGGGCAGACATTTAAATGAAACAGTGATTGGGTTAAGGTTATCAAGATTGACCAGAGTGGCTGATGCACACCCTGGAGGGACACCTACATGGGTTTTGGGCCTGATAAATACCTGGAGGGTCAGTGATTGTTTACATGTACTAGCTCTAGAATTGCCTAATAATACATGCACAATCTGCGTGCACTTAGACCCACATGACTTAAACTTTGATGGGAGCATAGACTACTAACTATTACTACTACTAACTACATTTCCCATAGGTGTTTTGATATGCTGTTGATCAAGCCTAAGGGAAATGCTTTTTACTGATTTAACATCCTCTGTGATCAATATCTAACAATTAGACTGAATACGTCCAGCAGTGTAATACAGACTTAAATGAATTTTAGGGTTGAGAACTTGTTATCACTCACTTGCACTTGCTCCCAGCCTTTTCCCCCACCTCCAGGTACGCTTCATAGTTGATCATGGCCTCTTCTCCAGTCAGTGGAGGCACCTGGTGCTTATCGAGCAGAAACCACAAATTCTGCAGAAAATAAAAGGAAACATAAGAAAAAACAAAGTTTGTGTTGCTTTACCTGCAGAAGAAGCAATGATATATTTGTGTGCGTTTTACCTGCAGTTCCTCATTATCAAGCAGCTCTCTGCTCTTCCTCTGGAGAAAGACAGCTCTGGATTCCTCTCTTAATTTCTGAAGCAATACTTCATCTTCTGCTGGCAGCTGCAGAAAAAAACCCAACATCTAGTGGCCATGTCCAAGCAACTACGCACAAGTTAAATAATTAGCATCACACTTTCCTCTCTTACCACTAATTAAATGATTAAATTGACTGGATGTAAAGGTCTGAATACAACTGTGTGTGAACTGTAACGTTTGCTTCTGGATGGCGTATGTAGACATTGGAAAGAAAATAGTTCCAAAACTAAGGTTTTTGTTTTACTTTTACAGATTTCATATGTATTGAACTGATTTGATACCCTGTAGTAGAACCGTGGGATGGTCTTGTAGGAGCTGCCGCTGTTGCTTCCTCCTTTCCACTCGGTGTAATATTTGGAGAAAAGCTCCGTTTCTTCTGATTTATTTTCCTCTTCGCTCTTCTCGTCTTTGCCGGAGAAAAACACAATATAAAAACCAACTTAAATATTAACTATCCGGCAAAAGAACACTCTTATTAGTTAACTGATTACAAATCGATAGTGTACATTCAACTTAGCCAGCTAAACACAGTTTACATTGTTTTACCTCTTTTGGAGTTTGCTAACCTCCTCTTAAGAATATCCGCCCAGTTAGGCTGCTGTTCGGTAGCCATCTCTGCTCCGGAGACAAGCTAACAGTGAGATTTCTTCATTTTAATAACGAATCTCCACTTGTAGTAAAAAAAAATAGCCGTGCTACCCAAACAACATCAAGCTAATAGCTGTAAAGGGAACTTTTTTCCGGTCGGTGCTTTTCAAAATAAAAGAGTAACGAGAAAGAAATGAATTTCCACCTCTTCAACCTGCTCCCTGTTAGTCCACACAGCGACTACTGCCTGACTTCAACCCGTTCATCGCCATCGCAAACAAGGAGAGACTCAATACTTATGCCGATTTAATCTCATATCTCCACAGTATGGCTCATTATCACTATTAACTCTATCACTCTGCATTTACTCCAGCTCTGCACATCGCCTATGTTCTTGAAAATTATCTGGACATAATATGATACAAAAGCTACATGTAAATAAAATAAATGTAAAAGTTAAATAAATATTTAACTATAAAATATATAACAAATTATTCTCATGATCAATGGGTGATGACATTTCCTTTTTTATTTTGAAAAACCTGATACCTCACAAACGACGTTGTCTAATGTTGATGACGTCAGGTGTGCGACTCCATCCATCCCTTCTTGCTGGTGTGTTTTGTAGAGGGATATGAGCTGAATGAGTTCCTCAGGCGCTGTATTTGTAGTTATTCAGATTTATGGACGAAACGAGAGCGCGAGAGAGCCTTTGAAGGACGCGTAGAAACAGGAAGGTGAGCTTCTGGTGTCACCTGCAGGCTCATGTAATTCACGTCATGTGTCAGCTGTGTGCTTAGTTTGTGTATGAGAAATAAAACAGTTTAAATTTAAAGTGGGATTACAGCTGCTGTGCTCATAAATCATTCGCTATAATCATCCAAACATGGGCTCTACCTTCATACTGAAAGTCAGAACATCTCTAAAGTCCTCGCAGCTCTTTTTCCAACATGGACGTCCAGCTTTCTCCACATTACAGCCTCCCTGGGTTCTCTCTGTGTGCAGCAGAGAGCCCAGCCTCACCCTGGGTGTCAGACGGACACACAGAAGCAGCAGTGGACAAACTAAAGGGCAGGGTGGGGTTAGAAACAGCACCATCAGAAGCGGTGAAGAGGATGGTACAGTGAATGGAGGAGGAGATAAGAGGTCTGCTCCCCGGCAGAGGATCCATAAATCTGTGTTTGCTGCTGGAACGGCAAAGAGGACGGCGGATATACTGAGGAGGAGGGCGCCTCTGGTCTGTGAGTATAAGGATGAAGAGGAGCCTGAACGTAGGTCAGATAGGGGAGCAGGTGAGCATGCATCACCACCTCTCTTCAGATATTTAACAGCTCATGATGTGTTTGGATGACTATTTGGATGTTTTACAGGAAGGCTGCAGCCTCCTGAGCGACCGCTCCCTTCCAATGAGTGGAAGAAGCTGAAGGAGTCTCAGGGAAATCCACCTCGCTTTGAAATCCAAATGATGACAGCTCTCTTCACCTCTGGGGGCGAGCTGGATGTTGCCAAGTAAGAGTTAAATGAAAGATTTAATTTGCCCTACGGTGATTAAACAGATACTGACTCTGGATGACTTCCAGTGGAGCTGTGAGGAACCTTAAAGGCATTTTAGATCAGTCGCTGTTCTAAAAGCTTCCTGAAAATCCTTCATTTAATCCAGAATGCTGCAGTGAGAGCATTAAAGGACTGAAAAAGCTCCATGTTACTTTCATTTAAAATCCTCCTCTTCAGGTCCCTGCTGACTTTTGTAGCCACGGAGACTGGCACACTGTCCTACGAGCTGCTACTGCGATACCTGACGCTGTGTGTGAGCAGCGGCCATGACGCTGAGGTGTTTGACGTCTATGACATCATGCGGGGAAGTTTCCCCTCTCTGGACACAGGAGCTTCCAGTCTTTTTATCAAAGCCTTCAGCCGGACGGCGAGGTGGAGGGAGGCTCTCAACATCCTGCAGGAGCTCAAGAAAGTAAGCAGTTTTTTTTTAGGAGAAAATTAAACTTATGAAAAGTATTTCAGTGAGGAAAAAAATGCACTTTTAGTTTAGGCCAGAATTCATTACGTGTGTTTGTCATTTGCTAAGCTAAATATTAACCTAAAAGTTGTTTTTCTGAGGCTTAAAATTAATTTCTTACACTTTTTCACTCCTTTTTTTCCTGTTTGTCTATACAAACCAATTAGCCATGCTTCTGTTCAGTTCTGATAAACTTATAAATGTTCAATCGTAAACTTTCTCAACCTGAACAAACCTGAACCAGCTTGCTCGTGGGGGGGTTCTATACTTTTGTGATTTTCTCTGTTTTCTTTGTGTTATTGTAGGGTCTTTACCTTAGAACGTAAAGCACCTTGATTCAAAGGTTGTTGTCATTTATCATCTGCAGATGACGATGGTTGATTTCGTGATATTAGTGAGGTAGTTTTCTATATTTCAGGTTGTTTCAAATGTGAGCGAGCTCACAGGTGAAGCTTTCTTTTCCTCCATAATTATCACCTGATTTTATTTACTAACAGACTTTTAGTCCATCACCACGCAACTATGGCGACGTCATCGCAGCGGCAATGCAGCACGGTGACACAAGCACTGCCTGGGCTCTTTATGATGAGCTAATTGACAATGGACTGAGTCCTCACCAGGAGACGTGGGAGACTCTGTTTAAAGTGGCAGGGAAAAAGGAAGGAGAAGAGGGAACGAGTGCCATGTCACAGGCTGAACAGCAGGAGAGGCACCTGGGAATTCTGCTGCACATGAGGAACAACCAGATCTACCCTCAGCAGAGCCTCGCCAGCAGCATCAAAAGCTGGTTTGAGAGGTAGGACCGTGATAGGGAAGCACATGCATGCAAAACAAATCCTGTTTCTTAAAATGTGATTTTTTTTTTTTTTAAAGCTTTGCTCCCCTGCATTTATTTTCAATGTGACGTGTATTAACGGCAAACCTCAACATGTGAACATAATCACTCTAGTGTATATTCTCCTTGTGCTCCTTCCCAAAATCAGCCTGACAGGACAGGAATGGACAGGCAGCTGGACGACCGCCACCCCAAAGTAATAAAAACCACTTCTGATGTATGTACGTACCTCCATTATGATAGTGTGTGTCATTTAAACATATATATGTGTGTGCATGTGTTCAGGGGAGTATGTAGGAGTTGTGGGTCTGAGCTGGAGTCCATCCAGCTGACTGCTGAGGAGTACCAGCAGCTTAAAGACAGAGTGATGACAGACATCATTGAGGGACAAGATGTTTTCACCAAGACGACTCCAGAGGTAAAACGCACACATACACACAGGGACCTTGAACTTTAATTTATTATTATTTATTGTTATATTTAAGTGACAAACAAACAGCTGTAAACATAAAGAAGCAGCCCGAAAAAAGAACATTCAAACATCCTGTAAGAGGGAGATGAGATTTTTCTTTGTACACCCCGTCACCACTAGGGGGAGTAGTGCTGCTGCCAGTTAGAGTGATTTAATGTGGGGGGAGGGGTGTGATCAGAGAGGCATTTCGTTTTGTTTGTGGTTGTTCCTTTCATATTCCACAAAGGTCTGTGTAGACTCTGTAAATAAGGCTGCAAAGATAGGTTAACCACTCCAGTATTTTTAATGCCATTATCTCAACCCGTGAATTAAGCATTCACGTAATTTAACATAAAGAGACACAAGTATGTTTTAAAAACTTAATACAAACCTAAAATTTTTTTTCTTAATAATGTTTCCTTTCTTTCCTTTTTTCCCTTTGTCTCCTTTGACCTGTTACGTTCCTCCACCTCAGCTTTGCTGTTTTTGTTTCCTTTTGGTCGCTTTACTCTGTTTTTCTTTTACATTTGCTCATATTTTCTTTTCTACTCTTTTCTTCCTTTTCCTAGTTTTTTTTAGTAGAAAAGTAGAAAATGCTAATATTACCACAATACACAAAATCTGTGTGAGTGTTTGTGAATGGTGTCATGTTGCCTAGCAACCACTTATCTTTGGGGCACAATGGTGTGTTTTTTGCAGTTGCGCACCTATAACACCTTATAAAACAGTTATACTGGTTTCATTTTACCGCAGTTTCTAATTTAGATCTGCAACACTTCTGTTATGCGTGATAAATTATGACCCCCATTGATGTTTTCTTTTTTCTAATTAAAAAAATAATAACAGTTCATTCATGTAGATGTTTGAAAAGTAAAGTAAAATATTGAAACTAGATTTTTATGGCGCACTAGTTTCTCAGCTGTTTTCTTGCTGTCTTTTGCTAGATGGCGTCATTGTTACACCGGCTGGCACATCAAGCTGGCAGAGTCTGAGCTGGTCAAAAGAATAGATCTGTGTTTCAAGTTTTATAGACATTCTTAGGTGCAGTGAGGCAGCTGTTTGTCCCCCTGGTTCCAAGACTTTATTGATTATTTCCCTAAGCTGGGGTATATGACTCTGTGGTTAACTATTAAAAATCAGAGGAGGATACAGTTCTGTTATCACCACATCCTTTGTGGTTTTCTGGCCTTTGCAGTTTTTTTTTTTTTTTAATGTTAATGGGACAGCCAGTCATCTGGAAGCTGTACTTTCAATTTCTGATTTATAGATAAGAATTACGTTGGATTATGCAAAACTTAAATCACAGCAGTTTTTTTGGCTTTATCCTGTAAATTTGGACAAAATCAGACTCCAGACAATAAAAAATACATCGCAAAAGCCATTCTGCACCACAGAAGCAAGCACAAAGACTGTTAAAGTGAACATTTACTCTTAATGTGCAGGAAAAGCCAGTTGATTTTTGATCGGACCACAAATTAGCCCATACACTTTGCTCTAAAAGATTTAAAAAAAAAAAAAAAAAAAAAAAGGAAAATAACAAAAAAAAGAAAACAAAAACCCATTTTTTTCCAGTTTTAGACATGACATGAGGTCATGTAATCACTGTTTGTAACTGGGAGGGGCCACATCCTGCCGCCTCAGTAGAATATCCCTCCTGGCTAACACCGAACAGAATGATAGCACCTGTCTTTTAGAGGCCAGTAGAAACGCCTCATTCCCACTGATGCCAAACAGAATAAGAAGGGGACAAGGGGGCGGCGTCTCATTGAGAATCCTGGACAGGGTATGGAAAACCTCTGTCCAAAACTGAACAAGACTGGGACAAGACCAGTACATGTGGATCAGTGAGGCTTCAGCAGTTTTGCATCTGTCACAATATGGAGAGATTTCAGGATGCGTGTTTGCATTCATTGCAATACTTAAAAACGAAGCTCTTGCCAATCGAACACTTTCCAGATAGTATTGCCAGTGAATCAAAAATTCATGGTACTTTACTGCATAATTTCATCAGTTTTGCTATAATGCAGCACCAAATTATGATGAAGCCTCCACCAGCTTTTACTCACTGTTGCTTTCTCTATAATAAGAAGTGCCCCAAGACTTGTGCACAGTACTTTAGGTCAGGTGAGGGACAAAAGTTGCATGAGATTGCATTGCGCAAAAAAAAAAAAAAAACCCAACTAATTTTTATCAGATGTAGGCTCATATGAAAATGACCCAAAATAGAACACAAAAGATCAGATTCCATGTGGTTTGCGCTGTTCATGCTGTTGTGAAAAACCAGATATGAGACATGTAAGCCAGAAATATCATATGTGGGCTACTTTTGTCTGCAAAGTGAACTAGAGATTAAACAAGATGATTTAAACGACTGTGAGCCGGCAGTGAACTTCACTGAGACCCAGCCAGCACCTCTAAAGTTCACTAATTAACATATTATATGTTGTTTGCTTAAATTGTGCAGAAGCTGAACTATTTGCAGTGCAACAGACCAGTTTGCACGCAGACTCTTTTACTACCAATTCATGTTCATGGAATACATGCAGAATGAGATTTGTCTTGCTGGATAAGCAAGGCAAGAGGCAGGGTACATGCTAGACGTGTCGCCAGTCTGCTGCAGGGCTAGCACAGAGACACATTCACATTTACACCTATGGGCAATTACTGTGTACCCTGCCTCTAGCCATATGGCTGCTGGGATAGGCTCCAGTCCACTGGTGACCATGAATTGGATGGCTGACAAAGGCCTTCTGTACAAAAGTAAGTCATGTGGGTTGGCCACAAGGTCAGTCTTCCTCTTTATTTCAGTGGAAGTTGCAAAGATGATTTACATATTTACACAGCTAATTAAGTTTACTTTAGCTAATTGATTAAATTGAAGAAACAGGAAAATAACAGAGGTTGTGGTTTTTGCAAACACCCACCCAATTCAGAGCAAGGTGATTTAACTATTTAAAATTTCCACTCAATTTTCACATGAACTAAACAAATGAAGGGTGTATTTGTGAGCTTCAGAGGAAATAGGTGGACTTTGTTACCTGTGAACGTAGCCTGCATGGACATTTCCTCGCTGTCTTTGTGCTTGTAGCTTGATGTTGTGTATGTACGTGAGTTTCTTGGCAACAAAGTAAATGATCCCGTTTCCCATGAATTTATTTGTTTAAGGGGAATGTTTGGCTTTTTTTCTGCTTCGTGAATTTTCCAAGTAACATGAAATGAAAATGAGATCATTTACATGCGTTCAGCTGGATTCTTTATGTGACTGCAAATATGTAGACAGACAGCAGCAGACAGACAGCAGTGCACTTACAAACAAGCTTAAAACGCTGAATTATGGCTGTGTTGTAAGAGCCTTATTTGCTGTGCATGCATATGTGCAGCGTCTGTGTCGAGAGCCAAGGTACAAGCTTTTCATTGGATTGGAATGTACTCCTTTTTTAATAATGCAATTAAAGTAAACATAAAATGAAGTTTATTTAAAAAACAACAACTGGGCAACACCGGCAATGTGTGGTTAATAATATGACATATTTAAATTATTAAAATAGGGCTCGCTTTGCACATGTTCTTGTGTCTTTATCTGGCTCAGTTATAGTTGGTTCAATTAAGGGAATTTCCAGCATGCGGACGGCCATGTGAACGTAGCCCACAGCTACCTCCTGCTGAGCAGACAGACAGTTTAAATGAGCTTTGTTAATTCCCCATTTAAGGCAGTTTATTTCAAGGGCAAACAGAGTGCTTCAGAGGAGAGTTAAGCAACTTGTGAAGGAAGGAAAAGGGGTAGAAGAAGGGCATCAGCACAAAGGGGAAGAAAGGCGGCAGTTTGTTTCGGTCTTTGTTTGGTGATAACTAGTGAAAAAAACAAAGTGTCTGTTTACTTTTCAAATAGCACTCATATATGTTTAGATAGCAGAGGTCAAAGATTGACTATTAGAGCAGAGAATGCAACAACACATCCCTTTATCCACAGAGAGAGTCGCTGTGAATAAACTCTGAATGCACTAATCCTGTTTTTATTTTAAAACAATATTAACATTAGCATGATTTTAATGCAGAGCCTCGCTGTAGGAGCAATTTTTGGTTTGCTCATTTGTGTTTAAGCTTCTGGCCACCACTCAGTTATGAGTTTGACATGTACTGAGCCTAAAGTCAGACTTTTCAGTGTGAGAGGTGGGTCTCTTTTAACCTGGTGAGGTCACCACATTAGCTTATTCTGATTACATAAGCTGGTGCAGAGCAGGGTTTTTTTAGTGATTAATGGAACATGATAATACTAACCTAGTACTAACTTGGTTAGTACTACGGGGCTACCTAAGTAACTACACCTTTCTAGTGCCCCTTTTGCATTTAGAACTGCCTGAATTCTCCCTTTTTCCACAACAGGGTTGCACAGGGGATGCAGATTTGTCAGCTTTACATCCAGCTTTAATACTCAAGTAGGCTGTGGTGTTTAAATAATGCTCAGATGGAACTAAGGGGCCAAAATTGTGTTGAGAAAATATCCCCCAAATCATTACACTACAACCACTGGCCTAAACCTTTGACAGGGCAGGATGGATCCATGCTTTCATGTTGTTCGTGCCCTATTTTGATCCTACCGTTGGAAATCAAGACTTATCGGAACAGGGAATGTTCTTCCAGTCTTCTGTTGTCCAGTTTTGGTGAGCCTGTGTTAATTATAGCCTCAGCTTCCTGCTGTCTGCTGACAGAAGTGTCATCTGGTGTGATCTTCTGCTGCTGCAGCCCTTCTGCTTCAAGGTTTGACATGCTGTGGATTCAGAGAAGCTCTTCTGTATTCCTTGGTTGTCATGAATGTTGTTTTTTTTTGTTCCCACTGTTTCCTATCAACAGTCTGCTCATTTTGACCTCTGACCCCTGGCATTAAAAAGTCATTTTTATCCAGAGAGCTGCAGCTTACTGGATATTTTCTCTTTTTCGGATCATTCTCTGTAAACTCTCGAGATGATTGTGTGGGAAAATCCCATCCACACAAATACCTTTCTTCCTCATTCTGATGATTTGAATTTCTTGGCCCTTTCTACATCCCCAAAAGCAATGAGTATCTTATGATTGTCAGGTTAGATATTTGTGTTAACAAGCAGTTGAACCGCTGTACCTACAAAAAAAAAAATACTAGCAGATGAGCGTATATACGAGGATGCGGTTTTTGTATCTGTTTTCTGGCGCGGCTACTTGTCCAAAATTTTTGTCTACTTCACAAAAATTTTGATAAAGTGTTGTGGCTATAGTACGCTTTAACATAATGCGAAATAGCACAGTCTAGGCTGTGTTTTATGAAAAAGCAGATCGTTTGCTTCGTGCAGGGGCACATCATCATTAGTACTCATATAGTATTTCAACTACTGAACAATTCAATGCCTCCTTTGTTGCTTTTGTTGGTTCATGGCTCTACGGTCTGGACTTTTACTGCAGAGCTGTGCTGCTGGACTTTGCAGAATGTGGCTGCACAGTCCAGCAGCACAGTGGCTGGCTGAAAACGCAGTCAACATAAACCGGCTCTTTTAATCTCAAATATTTATTTGGTGCATAAGCAGATATAAAATGTAGACTCCAATCAAAATGTAAAGGGGGAAATGATGACAAGTGTCAGAAGTGAGATAACTGAGAAGTGAGATGAACTAAACTCAGCAGGAAGTTTTTTTTTAAATAGTGTTTGAGCTGAAATTGATAGAGTTAATTATGTGCACACGACACAGCTCAGTGGGAATGGATATGTTTACAGAACCCTACTGTGCTTTGTGTAATAAAGGTGGCACTTAAGTGATACTATAAGCTTATGCATTTTTTATGAGTGTGTGTGTGTGTAGTCGTGTAATCCACAGCAGCACAGTGAGCTGGTTTCACATATCAGCTCTGGAAAGTCCCTGGATAATTATGCTGGACTTTGTCTTTCTCTTGTCTTCTCCTCATATTCTTTGCTCGTCTGCGGCTTTCGTTTATTGTCTTTCTTCCTTTTCTTCTTAATCAAACATTGCTGCAAAATGAGTGAGTATGACTGGTGTGTTTAGGCAGTCAAAATTAATAAGAGCATAAATAAGAGCATGTGGCAGTTTAAAAAAAAAATCTAGATCGTGACATTAAAGACACTCATTTTAATGTGCGTTCATGATACTGTGGATGCAATCACGATTCACTCCAGGGGAATTCACAGCAGCCTATTTCCATATTGCTGTTGGTGAAAACTGAAAGCACTGACAGGTTCCCATGCAGGTTCAAAGCAGCTTTCCTGTTATGGCACAAAGCTGCCTCAGAGCTTTTACAAGTTTTGACCTGAGTGGTGCATAAAAATTATAAAATGTGGTGTGAAATTTATAAGAAATGCAAATTGAACAAATTCTGCATAGATGGAGCTTTTTACCTCCCCTGTGGTCTGCATGTTTTGGGTGTTATGAAAACAGCTGCAGATGTCCTTAGATTTCTGTGTAGTAAAGATAAGGGCTCACCAAGGGCTAACATATTAGTCTGACTAGTCTGAGGCAGCTTAAAAGGTAAAAACAAAACACGATTATCTATTATTGATAAGCGTTATTTGAATATGCTATTAAACTTTATGTTAACACAGAGGACTAGCTGGCACTCTGCCATCTGCCTGCTGGGAAGGAAAGTCCAGCTTGATTTATTACTGGCAGGCCTTTGATCAGTTGGTGAGAAAATCAGCCAACCATCAGCTCACAGGTGGAGCTCAGATACGCTGTTTGACTCAGTAGCAAACTAACCATCTATGATGTTGTTAGAAACCTCTGCAGATGTTTTCTGCACATTAACCGTGCTCTCGGGTCAAATTATCAATCGGAAACATTGCACAGAGGGCAACTATGCTTTTTGCTGAACATAACATAGGCTTTACATAAACAATGGATGCAGCTACTGCGATGTCATCCACTGGTTTGTGACGCTTTTTGGCTCCTGTGTTGTTGTTGTTGTTGTTGTTTTGGAGCCACAATTGCTCATGCTTGATGAAGAGGTTACCAGCTAATTCTTGCAAACCTGCCACAAACTGTATGGGTGCAGGACACAGTTAGCTGCTAATTAGTTCAACTTAATAAAATATTAGAAATTAAATACTCTTGGATGAGCTTTAAGTACAAATGGACCGACGTTGGCTGCTTTTAGATGATCCCACCCTGCTGTTTCATTGTGTTTTTCCTTTCCAGGTGTGCTTTTCCCCACTTGGGATCATTGTCATGCTGGGAACTCAAGCTAATGCTAATCAGATAACTTACACATAATTCTGCATGGTGGATTATAATCTCAGGGTACTTTTTTACATCATAATTTCATCAGTTTTGAAAAGATGCCTAACACCACTGCCTAAAATAGCACTAAACCCCAGTAGAGCCTCCACCATGTTGTACAGATGGCTGTAGACACTCGCTGTTGTACTTCTCTGATTTTCAGTGCTGCTTTTGTGTAAGTTTTTGTGAACAATTAAGTTAGATGCCTTTTGTGTTGTACCTGTTGTACCTTCATGGATCACTTTCTTTATAAAAACTCCTCACTGACTGTTATTTCCCTACATATCGCTCTCTTTACATATAATAATTCTTCTTCCTCTCTGTTTGTGTGTCTGTTCAGGAGCTGCAGCGGTTCAAGTTGTTTGTGAAGAGGAAGCCAGCCTTTGATGTGGTTGTAGATGGGCTTAATGTTGCAAATAGCAACAAGGACAAAAGCAAGCAGTCAGAGACAGTAAGAATATGCACAGGTGTACATGCATTAAAAGTGTGAGATGCAGATTTACCCACAGGGCAGACCCTGTGTGTAAATCCGCACTCACTCACACATAGTTACACAGTCTTGATTTTAGTGGTTTCTTCCTACATGCATATCTGTCCAACTCAGGGGCTTTTCTGCCAGTCACAGAATGAGTAAACCTGCAGTGTGTGTGTAGTTTTTTTATTTTTTTTATTTTTTAGAGCATGCATGTGGGAGATGCACGTAAAACTGCCCAGTACCTGATTTTAACAGTAATGAGAGTACTTGTCAGCCTGCCTACATGTGTCTGTCAGGATGTGAGTGTGTGATGGCTTATTCTGCCCCAATTTTCTCACATATGTGGCTGCAAGACAAAGGAAAGTACAGACTGATGAGCCTATTTCCCTATCTAGTCATCTAGTTTGTGGGAAAGTTAAATAATTTATGAAAATAAATGCAAAAGAGATCGAAATTTACATCAAGCATATTATTCAAAGGAAACTGGAGGACAGCCGTACTGCTTCAATATGAATTACCTGCTGAATTCACTATTCAGAGTTCTGGATGACTGCTTACATGCCATCAGCTCACTGAGATGAAACAAGCTGAATGGCTGCAAATAGATAAACAGTGCATTGTGTATTTGCAGCTTGAACATCAGAAACTGTTTTATAAACAACATTTTTCACACATAGTTTTGAGAGACATTGCTGACAGTGAAGCTGAGATAAGAAACACTGGAAATGTTGGAAACATCGTTAAATATTTGTGAGCAGCCTGCAGCTTTGGCTGCTCTTTCCCGACTGCAAATATCAACAAATATTTACAAAGAAACAGCTTATTTAGACTTGTGAGATTGATCTTTGTAGAGACCGCAGCGTAACCTGCTCAAGTACCCGACAGCATTGCCAGCATTAATGTTTGTGTTAATTATGTGTTAATTTATTTGTAGTTATGTCCTGGTTTTTTGTATACAGTGTCAGCCAATATAGATGCAAATAAAAGGCCAGGAGTCATGCAGTTTTCATTTTTCATGTTCTCATTTTATTGCTATTGTAAGACAAGCACGTGCAAGGCGAGTTGCAGATAAAAGTTTAAAAATGTTCCAGTGAAATCAGAGAATGTGGCTTCATAGTTTTCCATTTGTAGGCAGAAAACTATTCAATTGAAGTTAATTGTGTTAACTATAATTAACTTGGGAGTAGACGACTCTGAGTGTCGAAACATTTAAAAGAGCAAATAAAACCCTAAATTGGCATTTCAGCCAGTGCGTTCCTGTTTTTTAGTCTGGTTATCTAAAGCTTGCTCAGCCATGACTAGTCAGTGCTACTCAGACTAGAAATAGAAACTATAAAGCTTCCAGTAACAAAGCATCTTGTCCTGTGGCTGCCAGTTCTTTAGATGTCTGTTTGTAGAGCTTAAAGAAGTAAACATTACTGCAGTACACAGACATTTTACTTCATTTTTATTGAGGCAATGAGCCTATGTAGGCCCACTCATAGGAAAATAAATACATAAATTATACATATGTAAAAATGTATGAGTATGTACATCCAAATGTATGTAATTTTTATATTGTATGTCTTTAATGACTCTTCCTGGACCTACACGTCTTTTCTAACTTCCAGCTTTTCCGAATGTGAAACATATAACACCCCCCCCCCCCCCCCCCCCCCCCCCAAAAGCTCATTGCCCTCATGTGGGATCAGCTGCTTGCATTGTAGACCAAATCCAAGCCATCATTTTAGTAATTATTTTTATTTATTAATGTTCTCGTTTTGAAAGTGAATATAAAGAAAGGCATATATTTGTGTGTTTCAGCTGCTGCTGGTGGTGTCAGAGCTCGTCGACCATCAGGGCCTGACTGTCCTGGTGCTGGGAAGGAAACACATGCTGCGACCCTCCAGATCCTGGGACAGAAACAACATGAACCTCATCCAGCAGAAGGCCCACTGTTTCTTTACCGACAATATGTGAGCATCTTATGATAATAATAATGATAACGATAATATAAAAAGAACAGCATGAAATATGTTCCATTGGATAGACAGGAAACCAGTACTGGGAATGTTCCTGTTTACTAGTTACTCTGTAAAACGGTAATCAGTAACTATTTTTACTGCTTCATGAAAGTAATCGGTTGCATGATCTGTTTGTTTCACTGGAGCGCTACCTTCAGCATGTGCTGGGTGGTTAGCAGCCGGGATGAAAATGGTCGATTGCTCCTTCTGGTTTGGGGGGGGAGAGTTTGTGCCTCAAATGAGTTGAGGTGTCTCAGGATCTTAATTCACAATGATGCGAAGGTGGATTATAAGGTCGGCTGGCAGATGTAGAGTCAGTAGAAATGTGGGCATTGTGTCAGACTGTCAGGGTAGGAAGAGAGCTGAAGTTTTATCCCTAGAATGCCTGCCAGGCTTGGAGATCGGAGGGAAGCCTGGAGTAGTGCTGCTGCTCCTTTGTGTTAATAGGAACCAGTTGAGGTGCTTCTCCCTCGTGCCTTCGCTTTGGAGGGTTTTGTTTTTTTTTCCAGCACATCCAACTGGAAGGATATCCAGACCTGGGAAGATCCCAGGAGGATCTGGAAGGCATTGCTGGGGAAACAGACAATTGTTGTATTATGGAAAATTGTTTTAAAAAACATCTTTACGGACTGTAAATGTTTCATTAGCTTTCCTTTGTCATGTTAGAGCAACATTGCATATTTAGCACTGAGAGTTGTTGCTTTCGGCTGGTCTCAGGCTCGCTAGTAGCAAGATTCACTGATTCACACACAGATGCAGAAATGGCTCCTTGAATACCATCTTCTCAAACTATCTTGCTGACCTTCTTTGTCCTGGAATAGGCCAAAGCGGGACATTCCTGCATGGTGAGTAGATGCAGACCAACAGAGTTTTTACATTTAAGCTTAAGTGATGTCTGTCTTGGCTTGAAGACATTGTCTCAACAAGCACTGTGCAAACCTACAATGCAATCTGTCTATACAGCCACAGCTTGTGGCTCTGGAGCCTCTGGAGAGATTAAATCTGTTGGCTGGGTTGATAACACCTTGGTGTCCCTCCAAAATAGCTGGAGGAGGTGGCTGAAGAGAGGGAGTTACTATTCTTGACCCGAATAAGCAGCAGAAAATGGATAAATGTAACACCTTAGAAATTTATTTGTTTTGTGATGTGTTTAAGTTGATGGTAATACCTGCCTGTTTAAAAGGCAGCACACAAGCAAAAAAAAAGAAAAAAGAAAAACAAAAGTCATTAAAAATCATTCAAGAATCAAAAGATCCTCTTTAAATGTGTTTGTGGGTGCTGCAACACAATCTGGGTGGCTGACATATATAGGAAACCATAACACAGACTATGAATTCAGATGTAGAGCTCTGCTTATTTTCTGCATTTTGTGCTTTTCAGTTCAGAGGATGACCCCTTCCTGTTGTACGCTACTTTGCACTCTGGGAACCACTGTCGGTTTGTAAGCAGGGACCTGATGAGGGACCACAAGGCCTGCCTGCCAGATGGAGCCACCAAGCGGCTCTTCTTCAAGTGGCAGAGAGGGCACCAACTGGTGGTGGACGGGCACGTCACAGCGGGCAGGAGGGTCCGATTTCAGGTGGAGAATGAGACCATGAGAAGAGAGGGTCAAGGCTCAAAGAAGGAAGCATCACAAAATTAACTCTGTTTTCGTTTGTGTTTTCCCAGAGTATTCCCAGCTATGACACCATTGTCCAAACCTCAGGAGGAAACTCATGGCACATCCCTTATGATGAAACAGAGGACAGGAGCACCTATGAAGTACCACAACACTGGCTGTGTCTCAACAAAAAGCTCTGAAGACTGTCTTTTTTTTTTACAGTTTGGAATATTAAAAAAAATGCTGGTACTGAAGACTTTTAATAAAACTGTGGACCTGTAAATAAACATTTACCATCACTGCAGTGTCTGTACTGTTTTAATCATATTTCAATTTAATATGATTAAATATTAGATAATAGGTACAGCCAGATCCATGGATATTTGAACAAGATGTACAACAAATGTAATTTTTCAAATTTTGGCTATGTGCATCCACTAACATTGGACTTTAAATAAAACAATTAAGATGTGATCAAAGTGCAGACTTATTACATTAACTGCTTAGGATTTACAGCTATTTTTATACACAGTCCCCCATTCACAGAAATACAATAAATAAATATCTCATATCCTGCTTGGAACAATTTGGTTTTTACTCAGAATATAAACCAAATACAAAAACCCAAACACTTTCTTTTAAAAATATTAACCAGAAGAAAAAAAATCTAATTGTGCAGCACAAGTTTGAATAGAATTTGAATTTTCTCAAGTTTCCAGAATCTATTCATATACACAATCTCTCGGGAAACATTCCTTCTTAAAGGTCAAACGGGAAAAGAAAGCAAATCTAACAATCTTCATCTGTAGCTGGTGAAAAGGCCTTTTAGGAAAGAACTTTTAGGTTTTGTCTTTACTCCAAAAAGAAAATTGCACAAACGTCATATTCTGTAATTGTCAAGAAATATATTTTGATATTGTTACGAATACACCACCTGATTGAACTACTTGTTAAAAATAAAAATACAAAAACTACAGACAGTTGACCCGGATATGAAAGCTCTCGTCTGCTTCCGGTGCAGAATCGTGCCATGTTTTGCTTCTGTTTTTTACCTCAGTTTAGTTTCAGATTCGGTCTAGACCACTTTACCTCAATTATTTCCTGCCGTCATGTCCCGGGGGTCGAGTGCGGGGTTTGACCGGCACATCACCATCTTCTCCCCGGAGGGAAGGCTCTACCAAGTCGGTCAGTAATAAGAGAACCGAACAGAACCTTAACCTGCTCTGTCATCACTGCCTGCTAGCAGGCTAACAGCAGCTACTCACAAAGCTCAAGGCTGATTAAATATGTCACCACAGGGCAGTGTGGCAAGAAAATAGCTATTATGAAAATTAATTAAATGTATTGAGGCAGTTAATCCGACTTAACGGAGCAACTAATGAGTCATATCATTAAAGCAAAACATTTCAGTTAGCTGCAATTATAGACTAGTAAAAGCTAGCTAATAATGTATAAAGGGGACTAAATTAAACGTTAGTTTTAGCTTAAGGTCCATACGGCCGGCAGGACCACGCATGCGCATGTGTTTATATGAGTATTGTTTTTATTCTAACAGCATCTCTAAAATTCTTAAAGCAGGGGAGTCGAACATGCAGCATGCATTAATGTGCATTAGTCATTTTTGTTCTTTTGCAGATCCACGTCTCACCCTGTCGCTAGCATCCTACTCTGTCACACCAGATCTCTGCATGTCTTCTGTCACTGCATCCATGAATCCTCTCTGAGGTCTTCCTCTTTTCCTCCTGCCTGCTAGCTCCATCTTCAGCATCCTTTGTCCAATGTATCCACTATCTCGCCTCTGTACATGTCCAAACCATCTTAGCATTGCCTCTCTGACTTTGTCGCCAAACCACAGTCTGAGCTGTCCCTCTGATGTACTCATTTTTAATCTTCTGGGATGAAAATATGAGCATCTCCAGCTCTGCCACCTCCAGCTTGGCCCATTTTTTCAGTGCCACGTCTCCAAATTATACATCACAGACAGATAACAAAAAATTCAACAAATAACTGTAGTTTGGAAACTGAACTACAAGAACTTGAAAACAAAATTTCAAATTAATAGAAAGAAAAACACAAAATCATAATAACTCTAATAAATTATAAAGCGTTAATTTGTGTTTCTATTTAAAGGCTAAGTGAAACAAGGAAACTGTAAGCAAATGTAAAGAACTGAATAACATAACAAATAGTTTCCTCATTCTCTTGTGTGAGTTATAATTGCTTTCAGTTTAATCATGAAGATATGGAAATATTTTGTCAAAAGAATCTGACATCGATGTGTTAGCACTGAAGAAAGAGAAGAAGCAAAATGAAAAAGAAAATAAGTAAAAGGTGCCTTTCTTTATCAGCACCTCAAAGAGTGATGTATTTGTGACACCAGGAAGTGAAATTTACAGGTCATTTAACAATCATCATCAATTTACTGATAAGAAGAACAAGTAGGTAGTTTGTTACTTTTTAAAATGTTCAGTCATGAAGTTTGTGTATATTTCATTTTGCCTGCCTCTCTTCACTCTTCAGAGTATGCCTTTAAAGCGATAAACCAGGGCGGACTGACCTCTGTGGCCGTCAGAGGGAAGGACTGTGCTGTAGTCGTGACGCAGAAGAAAGTTCCTGTGAGTTTGCGTTTCTTTCACAGTCGTGTGATCCGATTCCTAAAACGACATTTTGATTGGTGTATCGATGGTGGCCCGTGTGGCGAGTTCATCTGTTAGGGGCGCCTTTCTTTGTGTCTTCCTCAGGACAAGCTCCTGGACGCTGCGACAGTCACACACCTGTTCAAAATCACAGAGAACATAGGATGTGTTATGACCGGCATGACTGGTAAGCAGCAGGAAGCTTATTATCTACTCTTATTATGGGGGACAATGTTAAGCTTTTTTTCTCCGGTCTTCTTTGTTTCTTTTGTATAAAATAATAAGAAAATGGGCTGATTTGGCCCTGATGCAGCCTCCAGTGTATTAGCAGAGTTGTGATTTGGAGTTAAGGTAACAGATATACTCTATATTGCCAAAAGTATTCACTCACCCATTTGAAATCAAGGAATCCAGGTGTTCCAATCACTTCTATGACCACAGGTGTAAAAAATCTAGACATGCAGACTGCTTCTGCAAACATTTGTGAAAGAATGAATCGCTCTCAGGAGCTAGTCTTGGTAATATAGTGTAACTGAAGTTGCAATATACTCTCCTCATGATGTTGCAGCTGCACATTTTAGTTATCCTCTTCTTTCCTGCAGACTATTCAGAGTTACTGAGTTACAAATTATACTTCAAATAATGCAAACTTTTTCAGTGGCATGCAGCTAAGCTTGCAGAAGAACACAAGACATTTCCAGAAACTGCACATAAACACTTGCTTGAAATTTGAGACAGAGTGTATAAAAAAAATGTGTTTTTTCAGTCGACAATAAAGGTTGTAGAACAAGGAAGAGCAGATTTAAGTACAGGAAAAAGACAAGACAAACAGCGCTGTATGTGAGTAAACAGATGAGGGTCATGTGAAGCTTACATCTGTTTCTGTTTGTGGGTTTTATTTAAGAAGCGGCAGTGTTTAATATGAAAACTCAGGTCTGTCATTAAAGTGCCAGATTTAGTCACACATACATATATTCATCAATAATCTGTGGCAGGTTTATGGTTTATATTAAAAAAAACATTTAAGATGAAACTGCACACAAGCTCGTAAGAACTGAACACTAATAGAATAATAACATAACAGTGGGTAAAAGTCGCATGATGAAATCACACACTAAAGTACAAATGAATGGAAAAAATAATGAGACTGATTATTCCTGGTAAGCAGTGTCTCATCTGACTTATGTTCCACAACAGATGCTTGTACTGGAAAAACTGCTGATATGTGCAATTAAAACTAAACCACAAAGGTTGTACTGCTTCTTCTCCTGCTCCAGCACATCCTGGAGATTCCCAGTCTCGGGGCTGATGAAACCTTTAAGAGCAACATATTAAGACAACAAGTTAATGTCAGCCTCTGCCTACATAAAGTTTGATTTCATCTAATCATGAATCGGCAGTGGCACAGCTGGATGTGCACCAACCCAGAAAAACAATCAACAACACTGCGATTGATCTGCTTGGTAGTAAACGTGCTGTGTAAACACAGAAAATTAGAAAAATTAAAGATACTTTATTGATCCCACAAGAACAGAAATTCAAATAGTGTAATAAAAACAGCACGGTTAGAAGTATGCAAGCCCATAATGAAGGCATTATTATGTTAGGTAGCACAAAATTTTATATACAACAGTTATCCATCCATCTTCTCCCACTTATCCAATTCACAGAGAGGGCCTGGAGCCTATCCTAGCGAGAAGTACATCCTGGTCAGGGCGCCAGTCTGTTACAAAGCTCACACAGAGTGACAACCATTCACACTCACATTCAAACCTAGGGGCAAATTAGAACTACCAGTTAACCTTATCCATGTAACTCCAAAGACTGGTAGATAGCCAACCTCTTGCCGCACACTAAACAATCTGAGCTTCCTCAGAAAGTAGAATCTGCTTATCCCCTTCTTGTACACAGCATCGCTGTTGGTCCTCCAGTGCAGTCTGTCACTCAAGTTTACACCAAAGTACCTGTAGCTGTCCACATGATGTTAAGTCAACCCACATCTCTTTTGTGTTGCTGACATTCAGGAGGAGGATTGACGTCTCTGGCTATAATATTATTAACTGTAATGCAATAATAGCAGTGTAGACATGGCATTTTCTCTTTTTCAAAGCTCTAGCAGTCCATGTACGCACTCAGCCAGGAATATGCTCGAACACACAAGTGTAAGTGCCCACTATGGCGTAGCTCTGTGTTGATTGAACAAAGCTAAGCTGGAAAATCACTAACCTGTAACCTTAAACAGAGGTGGTAGAAGAACTCTTAATCAGAAGGTCCAGAAAGTCCCCACCATACAGTACTCCCTCGTTAGGTATAGATGTGATCCTGAGCTTCTAGCCTTGTCTGTTTCCATTTACAGATTAAAGCTACAATAACTATTCCTAGTAAGCAATGTCTCATCTGACTCATCTCATGATCCACAACAAACCCTAGTATTGGAAAAACAATGCTGATGTATACAATTAAACTAAGCTTCCTGTTAAGACACCTAGCTCTTAAAAAGGTTGGCAGAAAGCTACCTCTAAGAGCCTGCTACCACTTCCAATGAGACCAACTTACCATATCATACCAGCTGTTAATTTTTAAAAAAGTCAAAGCACTTAAATAATTCTGGCCTCCAGCCCAAGTTACAGCTTCATCTGACCAGACTGATCCTTGATGAGCCCTCAATTTTTACAGAGGGAGACCACATGAGCTGTAACTAAAAATGTTTATATTACACAACTAAACAGAACTGAAACACAAATGAACATAGTCGGATCTCCTGCAGGGAAATGCCTGACCCGAGGGCTGTATCACTTCAAAGTAATTCATTTATTAAAACAAGCCCGTGTCCCATTAGTGAGAGAGCAAATGTTTTAAATGGCAGTTTAAAGTGATGTGAGCTGCTGTGACATGATTTTCTTTCCCTTCCTTCTGTCCAGCTGATGGCAGGTCTCAGGTGCAGCGTGCACGGTACGAGGCGGCTAACTGGATGTACAAGTATGGCTACGAGGTGCCCGTGGACATGCTGTGCAAACGCATGGCCGACATCTCCCAGGTTTACACCCAGAACGCAGAGATGAGACCGCTAGGCTGCTGTACGTAATTTGTGTTAGTGTGTGTGTGTGTGTGTGTGTGTTTGCATTTTGATATCACTCCATGTATTAAAACTGAAATTGAAACTTTTTTCAGAGCATTTTCTTAATGTCTGCAAGCTTCAGTTTACACAGTATTTTGAAATCTGATGCAGAAAGTTGTTAAATTTCTCCTTTTTTTTGCGTGTCTAAAAATGTGGTGTGCAATGGGGCGATCGTGGCTCAAGAGTTGGGAGTTCGTCTTGTAATCGGAAGGTTGCCGGTTCGAGCCCCGGCTCCGACAGTCTCGGTCGTTGTGTCCTTGGGCAAGACACTTCACCCGTTGCCTACTGGTGGTGGTCAGAGGGCCCGGTGGCGCCAGTGTCCGGCAGCCTCGCCTCTGTCAGTGCGCCCCATGGTGGCTGTGGCTACAATGTAGCTTGCCATCACCAGTGTGTGAATGGGTGGATAATTGTGTATAGTGTAAAGTGCTTTGGGGTCCTTAGGACCAAGTAAAGCGCTATACAAATACAGACCATTTACCATTTTATATGACTTCTTTCTTTTCTTTTTTGTCCTCTCCTATTTTCATTCCACCCTGCAGGTATGATAGTGATCGGGATTGATGAGGAATTGGGCCCACAGCTGTTCAAGTGCGATCCAGCCGGCTACTACTGCGGCTTCAAGGCCACGGCAGCCGGAGTGAAACAGACAGAGGCCACTAGTTTCCTGGAGAAGAAAGTGAAGAAGAAGCTGGACTGGACTTATGAGCAGACTATAGAGGTAAAATACACCAGAATACACAAAATAATTCCATATTCTTTTCTGTTGCACTGGAATTTTGTCCAAAAACGGCCCGGTAACGATGAAGGCTGCAGGGCGTTTCCGCCCTATGGAGCTTCGGGAATGTTGGGGATTTTACAGGATACTTTCTGGACAGCCGAGTAAGGGGAGTTAGGTGATTTTTATTGACGTATCAGGAAATGTGTGTGAATTTTATAGCTGTGACTATGTGGGGTAATTTCAGTGAATTGCTTGGTGTTTTCCAAGCCAGTTGACGTTAGGGAAGGTTGTTGATTTTTGGAAAAAAAATTCAAACAAGCCCTGTTGGAATTAGAAATCAGTCTCTGAATGGTTTCCTGTGGTCTCTGAATCAAAAAGATACTGACTTATTGAAACCCTCTTTAATATGGTAAAGTATTTATATCAGAGGTGGGTACATGAGAAACTGGGACTGTTGTCTTCCATTAGCTGAACTCAGTTGCCCACCCCTCGTATGTATGTATGTATAATAAATGCATATATAATAACTTTTTTCTTTTACTTTAATTTTCTGTATCATGTTTAAATACGAAGTTCTCCCCTTTGTCTCCAAACAGGCGGCTATCTCATGCCTGTCTACTGTTCTGTCCATCGACTTCAAGCCCTCAGAGCTAGAGATCGGAGTCATCACGGCACAAGAGCCTAAATTCAAGTGAGTGTTTTTCTGAAATAAAGCTTCTCGATAGCTTTGAGTAAGAACGTGATCTTGAGTCAGCCACTGCATCAAATTAGTTTTGCAGAACGAAGCGGGCCGTTGCTGATTAAAAAGTTGAAAGCGTTAAAACGCCGGTAATGTGTCGGCTGTGTTGGGTTATTGCTAAATAATTTGAGAAAAAAAGGCCGGTGTTGTAATGGAAATCCCCTAAAACTAAAAACAGCTAGAGGTTGAGATCAAAGCAAGGACTTACATGTGGAGCTTGTTCTCGATATATCCGTATGTGTGTTGGCAGAATGAAAAAGTATGACCGTATAACTGTGCGTTTGTGTTCCAGGATTCTGTCAGAGGCCGAGATCGATGCTCACCTGATGACTTTGTCTGAGCGGGAGTGAAGCGGTTTTATAAGAACGGATGATAAACAGTAAAAAGCATCAACACACAAAATGTCTCAGCTGGAAGGAAGATGAAGGAGGAGCTGGTATCATCTTCTTCAAAAAGAGATGAACAGTAACAGATAACCCCACCCCCACCCCTCCATGCTATCTGGTCACAAACAGGACATGATATTATCCATGTACCCAAACCCCTGCCCCCTCCTGTGTTTTCCTTCTGCAGCCAGCTGCTAAATGTCTCAGATCGTGGACGGGACATTCAGATCAGTCCCTGACGTGACACATAAAGTGTGACGTGGCAGCTGATGTGACAGACGGCCGCAGCGCAGCAGCTCAGCCTGAATGACTTCATGACATGTGTGACATGAGCAGATTGGAAGGTGGAGGTGTGGTAACACTACAACTTACAGCACAATACCTCTTAAATGTGGACTCAGTGGTCCTGTAGCTTCACTGTGCTCGGCAGTGCTTCCTGACCATCTTTTCTCAGGGCTACCACTTACATATGTGTCTCTCTTCTTCAGTGTTTAAGCTTTCCCCTCTGCACTGTCTTCAGTTTCAGGATGAAATTCATGCTCTGTACTCGATGATAACCCAGGGAACAGCTGTGGGAATTCTCCTACAGCAGCAGGTCATTGTCACACCCCTGTTTAAATCTGCTCAGGTCACTAGAAAGCTGGTGTTTTGATCTACCTGCCCTTCTGCTGCAGCTGCTGTACATTTCCACACTTCTATTAAACACACTTTTTATTTAACACAGGTGTTTGATTCTCTGCGCACATTCATTCCTGTCTGACGGCTCTTAGCTCTCTCGAAATTACTCGACAGAGTGTACAAGTGAGAATGCAAATGTCTGAACAGTCAGCTTCCACAGTAAACGATCTTTACTATGCCTGCTTCCTGATACAAAGCGAGTATCATGTACCCATGAAGGTATAGCACAGTTTGTTTACACCCAGTGAGAACTGCACCTAATGCAAACGATTATTGTGCTGCATTCTGCTTTGCATTAATTTGATCGTTTCGCCTAACAACACATCTTCTTTGAAAATGTATTGAATCCACTATTTTCTGATGTCTGGGAGAAATTATTTTAAATAATCACGATCTCTGTGTTTAACAAGACAATTGGGATTGGGATTTTTGCCCCAATTGAGCCGACTTTTGCTGTTTATTTCCAGTACTGGAAACGCTCCTGCCGCGGTCAGTCGCTTTGCACATATCGCGACCTATGTGCCCACTCAGCAGCGCCATTAGACCGAGTACCCTCACGCTTACAATGCCCACTGCTGTCTGTGTGTTAAGTCTCATGATCAACCTTTTGTGGGTACAAAGTAAACAAGCACTGAGGCACCGTTTACTCTGGTTAGGCCGAAAATGGAGCAAAGTTCAGGCAAAAGAACATGTGAGATGATCCATTGTCGTTAATGGTCTGGATACTTGCTTTTAAAAAGTGCAAAGCCTAAGCTTGATGTCCACACTGAAACCTTTCTTTCTCTTTACTTTTCTGAAGCGTTCAAGCATCTGTAAGGTGTAGTATGCAACGTGAAAAACACAATATTATACTTTGTGCTCCATGCCAATTATTTAAAAGCTATGGTTAGTGTTTTAAACATAAATCTGCTGATATTTTATGCCGTATGATTACAGATGAGGCCACCCAGCAGAATACCAGTCCATAAAATCAACATTACTACTTTTACTCGAAGTGTACATGGTGAGTAATAATACTCACCATGCATTTTACCTTTGATTGTAGCTATTGATTCATTAATATGCCTATCACTTTAATATTGATTTTAAAGCATTGTCTGCTGTTGAGTAGATGTACAGTACATTAAAACTGTACTGGTCCAGTTCATTCTCCCTGTTAAGTGATAACACATCTACCCTGTTTCTGTTTCCAGATTTATCCTGCGCTCAATGAGGCTTTTGTCTTTTTAAGAACAGCTCATTCAGTCGTTTTGATGCTAAATTGTTTGTCCTGTTGAGTAAGAATGTGACTTATAGCCTAAATACCCTTTTTTTTAAATTAATATCTCTTAGCAGAAGACTTATTCAGTAGAAAACAATTAAACTCTTGTGCAGCATCATTCTTCACGTAATGCTTGTGTATTAAGGTGCAGGGCTGCCCTCTGACGCAGTATTCTGATTCGTTGCAGGCTCCGTGGCCATCTCCTTTAATTAAAGTCCTGGGTTGCCTTGTGGACCAAGGTTTACTATAAACAGTCTATAAACATGAACTTTAGTTCATTTTTTCTTTTGCGTAAGGGAGGGGAAAATATTTCATGTCTGCTAAAGTATTAAAATGTAAGGTTTAAACACAATTCTGCAGTAATTTAATGACAGTGGATATTTATTTTACACGCAGCTCCCTTCCTTCCCAACTTCTGTCACTTGACTTCAGCATCCTGTTGTTCCTGTTCTTCGGAAGGTGAATGACAAGCAGGAATGTCGCCAATAGCTGAATTGTTCCGTTCCTGGGAATTTCCTGTCCCTTCCCTCTTAGCCACACCCTCCAGAAAAACTTCCTGATTTAAATGACAGGGCAATTGACCTCATTACACACACAGAAAAATTCCCGAAGCCTCTTGTCTATACAAACACACACATCTAAAAGGAGGAATTCGCAGCTCAATTGACTACCAGTTCCTCATTCAGTGGAAAGGAGTTATCAGCGCTTTCCTGTATTATATGAAAATCAGAAAGGGAAAAAAGAAGTGTCCGGTCAGGAGTGAAGTTGAGCTGTCATGCTTTGATGGGAGCGTTTATACGAGCAGACTCAGTGACGGCAGCAGGAGGCCACGTGGTTACATTCATTTCCCGTGTAATTGCAGATTTTTATTGCTGTCAGGCTCTGCCGATTACGATTACACGCCATATACGACTACTTCTGATGTCTCGTGTAAAAATATTCCCATCCCAACAAATAACACGGTCACACAGGAGGCTTTCACTGTTAAATATGAGTGTTTTAATTTAATGGAGTGTGCTGAACCCATTTGCTGTCTCACATATACAACCTGCTCAACTGTACACATTCACAGCTTCCATAAAAAATACATCTTTGTATACACAGCATTTACACTATCATACAGCAGAGCTGCTGGAGGAGCATCTTCACGTATGTATGGACGTCCACAGAATACAAGCGATCGCCGGCAGTCTGTTTAATTCTTCCTGCTCAGCTGCCTGGAAGCGGTCACGTCACCTCGCTGCATCGCCCGACCCCATCGTTGTCATCCACGTCACAGCAGAAGTAAGGAACGTGCCGTGCCCCCCCATCCGTCCATCCTTCACCGTCACAGCCTCTGGTCTCTGTAACTTCCCCCGCCCTCTCGCTTCCTGCTAATGTCCATTCCACTGAATGTCATCGTAATTCACCTGCAGACACATGGGAGGAAATAGAAATGGTCACACACCAACTAGTGACACACTTCATTTGTGCCAGACCGGCTGTACGATTTTGAAACGTACCTCATCGTCAGAGTTCATGTGCTCCTCTTCGTCACTGTCGTCTGACTCGCTGTCTGGCAGCTCCCTCAGGTCAGGATGGGTCACAGAGTACAGCTCTTTGTTGATTTCCCAGTTATCCAAACCAATGGTGAGGTGATAGGGGCTGTGGCCCCCAAAGCTCAGGAGGTTTGGGTTCGCTCCTTTTTTCAGCAGCAGTTTGACCAAGAGGAGATTCTGCTGGTCCACAGCCAGGTGGAGCGCGCTGCGACCGTTATGCTGCTCCTGTAAAACAGCAAGGAGGCAAAGGCATTAGTATTAACAAAGAGACTAACAAAGATTAACAAAGAATTCTTTTATTTTTTCCATACAGAAGAGGTGAAAGTTACCTTTGCATCAATGTCAGCTCCCAGATCTACCAGTCTCTCCACCAGTGAGAGGAAACCCTGCACTGAAGCCAGGTGGAGGCAGTTTTGACCTGCACAACACAGAAAAGGAAAAGAAAAATTAAAAGTTGATTCCAGAGCGAGACTGCAACAGGAAATACAAAGATGTATTTCCATATTCTTTTGTTATTCTTAGTAATTAGCAAAACTGCTGGGTGTGGGTTGTGAAACACATGCATTCATATCAATGTTCTTTTTTGGATTTGATTTACTGTCTTTTTTAACCCCCCAAAAATACTGAGTGTGCATGGCAGTGCTTAACGGAAAAATGTTTACACAAAAGTCTTAAAGAGAGGTGTCCACCTTTTTTATTTAGACATTAACTACTGCATAATAGGTTGGGTTAAGCTCCTCTTGGTCACTTAACTGCAGTCTTCGGGGCTAACTAACAGCAAGTGGACCCAAAAACTAAAATGTTAACGTGTCTCAGGCGAGGAAAGCATCACTTACCGTTATAGTTGCAGGCAGCCATCGCCGTGTGTAGGTGCTCTGGTCGGCTTTTCTGTGTGATGACGCTGAAGCAGTGCAGGTTACCGTGGCGACAGGCAATGTGGAGAGGCGTGTCTCCATTGTTGTCCACCAGCGTGGGGTCACAGCCGGACACCAGGAGGTTGAGACACACCTCCGGCTGTTTTGTTATTACCGCCAGGTGGAGAGGAGTCTGGAGAGGGACAGGTATTTTAGTAATGTCATGATGGCGGATGCAGGTGGGGTGTTAAGAGCTGTGTTGTGCATACCTGTCTCAGGTCATTCTGTCTGTTGAGGAAGTCTGTGTTTTTAGACTGGTCGATCATGGTTTTGATGAATTCTTTGGCCTCATGGATGATTGCCAAGTGGAGCAGCCTGCAGAAACATAAAAATAAAACAATTTAAGTAACAAACCAAAGATAAAAGCAAATTTTACACAACTTCGTGCCTTTTCGTCTACATCAGATACAGTTACAAAAAAGTATTAACTATGAAGAAAACACTCAATTATTTTCATAAATATTTGTAATAATAAATTTACAAGGAAAAAAACTTATTTTACACCTAAATAGAGTAACTTCCTGTGATTACAGTAAAATTGTGTAACTGTAAAACTTAAATGATTGATGTAACAGCTTCAGTTCAGAAGTGTCCCTTTGTTCTCTAACTTGGCTTTTATGCTTTTGTTTGAATTGGTGTAAAATACTATAGTGCTGCATAGAGAGTTACATTTGTTACACAAAAAAGAAAATGCACTCACTCAACAAGAATGGCCAATAGAAACATGTCTTACATAGGGGTGTCATAGTAACTGTTTATCAACGATAATCCAGGGTTTTTCCAGATTCTTGTGAGGGTGACTTTGCTTACATGTAATCTCTCTTATCTTAACAAGTCTGCATTGTCCAGATCTTTCTGGTTTACTGATAAACAAAGATGGACTTTTATTACAAATTTTTTCTTTTTCTTTTGGGGAATGCCATTTTTGGTGGGTACCAATTGCTTTTTTGTGTCTGCTTTTACTTTCAATAATATGTTTGCAGGAAAATAATTAGAATGTTTAAAATGTATTTTGCCTTTCAGAAAACTTAATTTGAATTATTATATATTATGTGTCAGTGCTATACTTTTCTTTGAATTTGTGCAACAAACATAAGTAAACAAAGGTTATCTACACTTGCATCACTTTTAAAAAAAAAAAATACAAACCTATTCCATTTGCCTGTATAATTTTGGCATAAAAGTACTTCCATATATTTCCGGTACTCTGCTTTGATTATTTAACTTATCTCTGGCCCAGTGTTAATGCGCGAGCAGTAAGCCCATTTAAAACACTAGGAACTATATTCATCTGCGGAGGAACTTTGTTAAAATAAAAGTTGGGTTTCGGGGAC